ATCGGTATAAAAGTTTCCCGAATTCTAAGCGCTTTTCTGTTAACAACAAGCGGGAGGTTTTCCATATTCGTGTTTTTTCGAGTTTATTCCGCTCGTCGTCACTCCCTCTCCCGATTTTCAAAATAATTTCTCGAGAATTACTTGTAGAAGAATGGAAATTCCAATCGATTCAGTAGGAGTGGTTTGTTAGGGATCGAAAGGGAAAAAATAATCGAAGATTTATGATGGAGAAGACAGATCACGCCCGGAAATTGTATAAACGTATGCGATTATGGGAGTTACCTGATCAATATGTTGCAGAGCCCATCGATGGATCATCTGGTTCTTGTTTGGTTGTGAAACGTGATGGTTCCATGACGCTTGTTGGTTTGTGTTTTTAATCTCGATTTTTCTAAGCATTCATAACTTTTTGCTTCGATTGTTAATATGTCCGGTTGAAGCTTCTCGTCTGTGTGCCAACTCACCACTTGAAACCTGTATCTTACTTTCTTTATTGATTACAATCTTCTATTATCTGAGATTTGATCACTGTGCTTCGATTTTAGTGCAATTGGATGGTTTTGTTAGGGCCAAATTAATGGTTGCCTTACTAATTATCTGTCGAATCTCACTTAATAAGTCTTCAAAACTTTGTCTATGTAGATGAAATCCCAGATTGTACAACTGTTCGTGTTCCTAAAATTCAGACAATTTATGGTGTTGTTGGAATACTAAAGCTTTTGGCAGGTCAGAATTTAAAGCTACCACATTCTATAAGCTGTGAAATTGTTTATAATCTTTGTAATGTAATTGATATGTGCATCTTCATTACAACAAATTTGGGGGAAATGGTTATTTATACTGTTGCTATGCTCCTTTTCATTACAACAAATTTGGGGGAAATGGTTATTTATACTGTTGCTATGCTCCTTTTCAGCAGTAAAGTTTTACACAAATCTAAAACTCTTTCCATATGTTTGCAGGATCATATTTATTAGCTATAACAGAACGTGAAAATGTTGGATTATACTTAGGCCATCCAATCTACAAAGTCTTGTCACTCAAAGTCTTTCCCTGTGATCGTTCACCAAAAAGCTCCCGTGATGAAAAGGTGAAATTGCTTTTTTTGTTTTGGGTAATTTAATATTGGTGATAACATATGAAATTTGTAACCTTTTTCTTTCATTTTCTTGTAGAAAAAGATGGAGTCAGAGTTTTCAAGTCTGTTAAAAGTTGCTGAGAGGACACCTGGCCTTTATTTTTCATACCATGTCAATATAACACTAAGGTCTTTTTCTTCTCCATGTTTTTTTTATAATTCTCAATAACTCTTGTCATTAAAGATCCTTTTCCCTTTCCTTCTTGCAGTGCCCAAAGGTTAAATGACTTGGGTGTGGAAGCAACTAAGATTCCTCTCTGGAGGCAGGTAGTTATTGCCTCAAATTGAAATCCTTTGGTATTCTTTTAGTTGAATAAATAGTCTATTTCATAATATACAAAATAGTTTGTTGCTAAATTACAACATAAACCCTTGAAATATGTTGTTTTTACCTCTTATATACATATTCAAAAACACTTGATATTTACTTGTGACAGGCAGAACCTCGATTTGTATGGAATAATTATATGTTGGAACTTCTAATAGACAACAAGGTTTGTTTTCCAATCTTACTAAAAAATCCCTAAAAAACCTCAATTGCTTCACAACTTTTTGATCTTCTGATTTTCTGACATTGTCAATATGTGCACAAGCTCGAAGCATACATTCTTCCTATTATTCAAGGGAGTATCCTTTTTTTTTCCTTACATTATTTAATTACTTTTCAAAAAAGTACAAAATTGTAGGTGTTATTTCCTTAACTTGGTAACAGCTTTCCAAAATTTTCAAGCAGCAATTGGGAAAGATATTATAGATGTCACCCTGATAGCAAGAAGGTGTACTAGGAGAAATGGTGTGGTTTTTAATATCTATACACAAAGTTTTAGTTTCCTTTTTTCATTTAATTTTAAAAACAAATTATGATAAATAGGGACTAGGATGTGGAGAAGAGGAGCTGATGATGATGGGTATGTAGCAAATTTTGTGGAAAGTGAACAGATCATACAAGTAAAAGGGTATACAGCATCATTTGTACAGGTAATTACAGAATTGATCCCTGTAGTTTGGTGAAAATCACAGGTTCAGTCCAATTTCAATTTTCCTTGTGTGGTTGATCAATCTAAGAACTCATCTATTACTTTTTAATTATGACTGTTTTTCCCTTGGATCAAGCTATTAAAAGCTAAAACAAATATGCAACAAAAGGACAAAATGGGGGTAAATCTGTCATTTAACAGATTTTGTGTTTGTAGGTCCGAGGGTCAATCCCTTTTGTTTGGGAACAGATTGTTGATTTGTCATATAAGCCAAAGTTTGAGATTATGAAACCTGAGAAAGCCGTAAGTGGTTAATCATTAATTACTTTTTTTCTAATATTATTTCACATCCATATATCTATAAAGTATAAATAACTACCTGATAACCTTCCATATGATTATTTCTGTAGCCTCACATTTCTGAGCGCCATTTTTTGGATTTAAGGAAAAAATATGGAAATGTTATAGCCATTGATCTTGTCAATACGGTATAAAATATAAATACTTGTTTCTTTCTTGTTCACAAAATATAAAGTCTTCTGCATTCATTGTATTTATTTATTTATTTTTATAGCGTGGTGATGAAGGGCGTTTGTCTGAAAAGTTTGCCACATCCATGGAGAAGATTCTTAACGATGATGTGAGGTAGAAATAGAATCTTGTGTAATTTTTTTTTTCTCATTTATTTCTTGCTATATTTTCTCTTATATAATATATATGGTTAATTCTGTGAGTTATGCAGATACTTGCACTTTGACTTTCATAAGATTTGTGGACATGTTCATTTTGAGCGTTTGTCTATCCTCTATGAACAAATTGAAGATTTCCTGATTAAAAATAGGTGAGTATTTATTATTTTTTTATTACTTGTACTTAAAATGTCAAATTGGTAATGGTGTTGAACATTGCATGAAAGATAGGAAAAATAAAAAAATATGACTCACATCCAACTTAGTAATAAACATCATTTTTCAATAGGTTTCAATTACAATCACATGATTATAAAGGGTTGTTAATTTTCAAGCTTAAAACTATAAAGGATGACAACAAAAAAAGACTTGGTAAGTTGAATTATAAAGGTTATACTTTATATAAGTGATACATTAGGTGCACACAATCTCGCATGTATCTTAATTATGCTTTTGTAATAGAAAACTAATTTAATTAATGTTACCTTTCTTTGTATTTATAGGTACCATTTATTAAACGAAAAACGCGAAAAAGTTGAAACACAAATAGGAGTTGTACGAACTAATTGTATAGATTGCTTAGATCGTACAAATGTCACTCAGGTATATTATATATATTTTACTTCAAAAGTTATTATATTCTTCATCTTTGGTTATATGTAACTTTAATCCATATTGTATTTTGTTGTTTGTTTTAGAGCATGATTGGGAGAAAAATGTTGGAATTCCAACTTCAAAGACTTGGTCTTTTTGATGCCGATGAAAACATTAGTACACATTGGAATTTGAATGACTCTTTCAAAATATGTATGTACTTTATTTTCATTCTTGGTTTCCTTTAGGCCCCATCTGACAACTTATACTGTGTCTGGTGTGCATTGCACTGACTGATCTTAATGGGACAAAAATTGCAACCTTTTGTCCCACTCAAAATACTATTTTTTATTGAAAACAGTCTGTCATGTCATGTCATGTCATGTTCTGTCGTGTCATGATTTCAGTATGGGCTAATCATGGGGACGATATAAGCATCCAATATTCTGGTACACCTGCTCTTAAAGGAGATTTTGTCAGGTAACTTGAATTAATCATAGAAATTAATTAATTTAATTATTATGATTAATGTTTAGATGAGTTAAATTCATTTTCTTGTTTTAGAGTGGGTCGGAGGACTACTAGAGGAATGCTTAAAGATGGCTATAATGCACTAATGCGTTATTACCTCAATAACTTTGTTGATGGTACAAAACAGGTCAGCATTTTTTATTTATTTATTTATAATTTATAATATAAGTATAGGAAAACAAATATGCAATATATTTATTTATTTTTTTCATTTGTGTAGGATTCGATTGATTTGGTGCAAGGGCATTACATTGTTTCTCTTACTCGAGACATGTCTCCAAAGAGAAAAGGAGGGATAGCGAACATTGCAGTGAGTAATAATTTTATGTTAATATCATGTTTAATTAATCATATCTTGATTTTATTTTCATTTGTTTTGCAGCCATTTCCTGTTGTTGTAGGAGTTATATTAATGGGTATCTTTTTCGCATTGTTGTCACTCGTGCGAGGTGAGTTGGTTTTATGCTAATTTTTGAAAAAAAAAAAAATACTAAATCCGTAAAATGGTTTTGTATTATATCCCTCATTGATTGTAATTTGTTATGCAGTTCGAAATGATTTTTGGCAGTTGCCATTGTCTATTTTTTGGGCATCACTGAGTCTATTAATAACACGATATGTGAAGGAAAATGGTCGCGCTTTTTGCAACAGACCCCGGCTACACAAACCTCTAGATTGATTTTGGCTACAAATTTAATTATATCATTTTTTTTATTATTTCTTATAGTAGTTGATATAGCCCACATTGTTCATTGCTCGTATTATTATAAGTTCTGTAATTATATATTTTTCATGTTATTGAAGACCATTGAATTTTATTGCATTTACCGGAAGATCTTTGACTTTTTTTTTTTTTATCTTTATGTAGCCGGTTAATCAGATTCTTTTTCGGTCATCCAGTTTCCAATTAGACTGCATTGATAATACCTATGCTATGAACCAACAATGTTTCATATAAGCCAAAGTTAACAGAGATTAAGACATATATATCTTATCTTTTGACCTAATTATATACCATTATATCTTTATAAACTTCCATTTGGTATCGGATTAATACATGAAATGAAAGAAATGAAGAGTTGTCACCATACACTTCTGCTATTACTACCCTTGACGACGTCGTTTGTTTTCCAGTCTTTTACATCAGTAGCCGGTGATCATTCAGGTTCATTCTACGAGACCTTTCTCAAATGTATGTCCCACAGAAACTCATCTGATCGCGTCTCATCAATACTCTACAACCCAAACAATTCTTCATATACATCAACCTTACAAGCCTACATCAGAAACAAAAGGTTCAATACATCGACTACACCCAAACCCATAATAATCGTCACCCCATTACACCAAACCCATGTCCAATCCACAATCTTTTGCTCCAAAAACCTATCGATAAACCTCAGAATCCGAAGTGGTGGCCATGATTTCGAAGGACTCTCTTACGTCTCCTACACTCGTCACTTTCTTTTACTCGACATGTCTAATCTTAGAACAATCGATGTCAATATCACAGAAGAAACCGCCATAGTTGAAGTCGGCGCCACCATTGGAGAGCTTTATTACAGAATATGGGAGAAAAGTAAAGTCCACGCCTTCCCCGCCGGAGTTTGCTCGACTGTAGGAATCGGCGGGCATATAAGCGGAGGTGGATATGGAGTTTTGATGCGAAAATACGGACTTACAGTGGATAATATTGTCGATGCGATCATAGTTGATGTTAATGGTAGAGTTTTGGATAGAAAATCAATGGGGGAAGATCTTTTTTGGGCTATACGAGGAGGTGGTGGCGCAAGCTTTGGAGTCATACTGTCGTATAAACTACGACTCGTCGGAGTTCCGAAAACTGTCACCGTTTTCCGAGTATCAAAATCGTCGGGAGAAAAGGGTATTGATATCGTTGACAGGTGGCAGTATGTAGCTGACAAGATTGATCGAGATCTTTTCATTAGGTTATATATAAAACCAAATAACGGCAAGAAGACGATGGAAGCGGAGTTTACTGGGTTTTTTCTAGGAGATTCCGATCGACTTGTTTCCGTTATGAACAAAGGATTTCCCGAATTGGGTATACAAAAAAACGATTGCAAGGAAATGAGTTGGATTGAATCGGAGCTTTTCTGGTCAAGCACCGATAAAGCACCGGTGGAGGTTTTGCTAGACCGGAGTCTTTTCACGTCACACTATGCAAAACGGAAGTCGGATTTCCTACAGATTCCGATTCCTAGAGATGGAATGGAATCTTTATTCCGGAAAATGATGGAATTACGTGTTGTTGGACTTACGTTCAACCCATATGGTGGAAGAATGAGTGAAATCCCGGATTGGGAGACTCCATTCCCGCATCGAGCTGGGAATATTTTCAAACTCCATTATGGTGTGAATTGGAATGAAGAAGGGAGTGAATTAGCGGCTTACTATGTGAATCAGACGAGAGTTCTTTATGATTTCATGACTCCGTTTGTGTCTAAGGATCCGAGAGGAGCGTATCTTAACTATCGGGATCTTGACATTGGTGTTAGCCGTGTTGGGAACAATAGCTATTCGGAAGGGAAAGTTTATGGAGAAAAGTATTTTAAGGGCAATTTTGATCGATTGGTGAAAGTGAAGACGATGGTTGATCCAGGAAATTTCTTCACAAATGAACAGAGCATTCCACCTCGATTCGATAGTAGATATAGAAGGATGTTTAGGTGACCTTGGTTGGTGCATATTGAGATTTGAGGGCAATATGCATGATTCTTTTTCATACTATTAATATGAGAAATGTTTTTATCTACAAGAGAAATGTATTTAGGCTTTTTAAGGATAATAACAATAAAATTTTATTGTTTACATAACATGATAGCAATTACATTTCATTACTAATATGAGAAATATGTTTTCTTTGTTATAATTACTAAAAAAAATGTATGTAAGTTGTTATAATGTATAAAGAAATATAAGTATGTTCCTATTATGTGTAACTTATTGCTTTATCGGTAAAAAAACTTAAGCAAAATGACATTATGTGTAAAGAAATATAATGAGAATTTCATTGAACTACCAAAAGGAAGTGAGTGTATAAACATTTTAACCATGAAAAATTGAGTTTCGTAGAATGACCAAGGGATCAGAGGGGGCTCTGCGAAAGTCTTTTACCTTCTAATGAATGTGAATAGTAACGAGAAATTGAGGTGGTAGGGGAAAAAGACAAAAAAAAAAAAAAAAAAAAAAAAAAAAAAAAACGATTTGCTGCATAGTTCCTCAGATGGGGTTCTGAGAAAAGGTTGTTGAGGCTCTCTGAATTTGTTTTCATCAACACACCTCTGTGGAACTGTTCTTCAGCTAACCATGACAAAAATCGGGATTTCATTAGCCGAAGAACAATTTCTCAGAGGCGTGCTGATGAAGAGCAGATCCTCAAAACCCCTTCTAAGGAACTATGCAACAAACCCTTTTTTTGTGTTTTTCCTCTGCCACATCAATTCTTCATTACCATTTACATTCCTCAGAAGGTAAAAGGTTTTCGCAGAGCCCCGTCTTATGATCCCTTGGTCATTCTATAAATCTCAAATTTTCTTGGTCAAAATGTTCAAACACACGCTTCCTTTTGGTTATTTGATGAAATTAATATAATTGTGTTGCTATTAAAAGAATGAAGCTAAGATACATTGTTTATACCCAAAAAAAAATGAAGTGCTTATTGATTAAAAATGAAATATGTGATGCAACACCCTCGATTTCGCAATACAAATTAGGTCTATCATATATTTTGTTACTTGTTACAAAGTAGACATATATTTGTATTTGATAAGTTAGCCGGACAAAAATACCTTTTTGATGAAGTATATGCATCATATACAAGTAAATGTTGAGAAATATTGTATATAAAAGGATAACTCATATAAATGAACCAAACATGTGACATAGCGATATTAAATTTAGGAGTAAAATAGAAATATGAAATTTAGTTTTACTAAAAAAATTATTTATAAATGAAATTGATGTCTTGCATGATTTGGTTGTGTACAACTTAAATCCTTGAACCTTGCTATTAAGGGTTGGTTCGACAAATTACATATTAAAATGGTAGATTGAGCATTGGCTAGCAAAATTGTTGTACAATCATCAAGTAAATTACTATTTATTTTGCAATTTTGTCGAAATTTTTTTTTTTTTTTTTTGGGTGGGGGGGGGGGGGGGGGGGGGGGTCTATACATCTGATCAAGATACACAAGTCCAGGGACTGAATGAAATAAAACATCAAGTGAGGGTACTGAACATGTGAAAACAACAAAAAGGAAAAAATAGAACAGGCAGATTACTCTTTCGGAGTTCAAAGAGGAAGCAAATTACAGAAATTTCATCGATCGATTCTGGAATTGGATTCAAGAGAAGCGTGAGGGATGGAAGAAACCCTGGAAGAGCATACCAAATCATTAGCGGCTCCAATCATCTTCATCATTGTCTTGGTTTTCCAGTTATCTGACAAGTTCTTATCAAATATGAAAACGGTAACTTTCCAATTCCCTTTCATTCAAACGTCGTTTGCAATTTCACTGTTTACTACCTAATTGGCATCCATATCTAGTTTTCCACACCGATAATTTCCGATTGCGAGTCTAGTTAACTATGTGAATCGTGATTTATCGATTCAGTCATGTCGGTCAATTGTTAGGTTTAAGTGGAATGGCCTCCATTTCCTGAGTCTAAATTGATTGCTTTCCTGTTGCAATCACCTGAATATTCAACTGTTCGTGGGATTGTATTGCTGCTATCATGTAACCTATTGTGCCAGCATTATAAAATTTAAATAGGTTGTTGAAATGCTATGAATTAGGGGATTTTGCAAAGGGGAAAAAGCATCTTGATTGTTGATCATGTAGATAAGTTTCTAATCACCTGCTAGTCAATGGTAATCGAAACATCTTTTTGAGCTAAAATTAGGTTAAAAAGAACAAGCTGTTAAATATAAACAAATTCATGATTGGATTATGCCTTTTTGGGCTTTTCTTTTACTGAAGCTATTACACTATATGTAAACTGTTGCATACTAACAATGTGTATGCTAAAAATTAATAATCTTGTGGTATTTCAGAAAGCTTCCATGAGTAAAAAGGATGCCCAATTGCGTGATGAAATCAAACAACTATTGAAGGAGGCAGCTGCTTTGTCAGAGTGAGTATACAAGTTCTTGATAGTTACTTCTACACAAGTTTGATTTGGAATTTACACATCACAACTTTTGTCATGTATTATTCATAACAAACAAACATCAAATAAGATTTTTATCATGTAATGTAGGCCTTCAACATTTGCTCAATCTGCAAAGCTTAGAAGAATGGCAACAGCTAAGGAAAAAGAGCTTGCAAAAAGTATGATATTTAATACTTGTATTAGGTGTCTATTTCTTCTAAGAAACTAATTTTTTCCTATTAAAATACATTAAAAAAAAAAAAAAAAAAAAAAACTTTACATGATATACAGGTCAAGAGTCATCCAACAAGGAGATAAAAGTGTCATTCAGCTTGTACGAGAAAATTCTGATGATTTCAAAGGTGATTGATCATGTTAATATTTGTATATTATTGATACAAAGTTTAACATATTTAATATTCCAAAAATACCCTTATCTTGCTTTGACAGGTTGTCATATATCTTACAATGATCATGTGGTTTTGGAGGATTCCTGTGGCTTCCATATCCAAAGAACTTGTGCAGCCCTTTGGTAATTCTTTTTTTTTTTTTTTAAAGATAAAAATTACAAGTATCAGGCAATGATTGGTAATGGGTAAAAAGGTAAATTTGGATTTGGGTAATACACCAAAAAAAAGGAAATTTTATAACGACCTAAAAAAGATAAGTGTTACATTTTTGGGTTGAAGTGAGAGTACTTAAAAAAAAAAAAAGTGTACTCTCTTTTTTACTTTTACCTTTATATTTAATGCAGGGAGGTTTTTATCCTGGAAAACTGGAGGCTCTTTTAGCAACAATGTAATAATGGTAAATCAGGATTTTAATTCAATTTTTATTAAAATTTAAATCCACTATTAATATATTATTGATTGCATTTGTAGGTTGGTGTGATACCTTGGTTGATATTATCCACCAGGGTTGGGAAATACTTTTGCAATAAAGTATTGAAGTAGATCGCATTGGAAAAAATTGATGTATACTTGTTTTATTAATTATATGTAACTTTTTCAGTTTTCTGAAAAGATAAGCTTATTATTTATGTTTGTCCTTCCTCTGTGATTTTGCTGTTTGTGCATTAATTAATAATTATATTTTTATGCATTAAAGTTTAGAGCATTAGGTATGGGTCACGTTATAACACCAAGTTCATATGCCACCTCATCTATAACACCACCATAACTACAAGGGGGAAATGGTGTTCCCCATGTTATAACATGTTAAGAAGTAGAGAGATAAAGAAATAAAATGATTTGATTGGTTGATAAAGGCAACAACCAATTAAACTTCCCGTTGTTTCTTGTGCTCGTCACAACAAGATATGTCATAACATCCTCTTAACAAGAAGAAGGGGTGGTGTTCATCTTGTTATGATTAGGTTATGTGGTGCCACATCAGCAAAAATTGTACTTCTCGTTGCCCATACCGTATACTCTTAAAGATAGTAGTGTTGGAGTTGGACTTTCATCTCACTAGTCTTTTTTCTTTGTAAACATCCAACTGTACTATTTGATGAAAATTTCAACGAATTGACCTATCGAATCAAATTAAATTTCTGTACTCAATTTTTCTACTATTATTATCGGAATTTTCATAAAATTTGGGTAGATAACTTTTTAAGAGTAAATTACGTTTTTTAGTACCTGAAAGTATCTGATTTTTCAATGTTCACAAAATAATTCTGATTCTTAATTAGTTTTTTTTTTTTTTTTTTTTTTTTTTTTTTTTTTTTTTTTTCTATCATGAAATGATTGATATAGCTTTATATATTTATTTTTATCTTTTATTATTATTTTATTATTGAGACCACCAATCTTACCCTATCCTCGCCCTTCCTTGTTCGAACATCTAGCAACTACCACAACTGTGTCATCATCGCCAAATCAAAATTAAAGGTTAAAACCAAACCAAAATAAAACGTGAAATCAAAGCTCATAACCAAAACATATCAAACCTGAGAACCAAATCTTATGATCAAATTATAATTTGAACCTTAAAATCAAACCTAAAAACGGGCATTTGTGTTTCCGTACAAACCGTGAAACAAACTATAATCAGTGGAAATTGAACTTGATGAAATCTGGTAACATAGTCGGTGACTACCACTAGGGCGACACAGAAAGCGGGAGAGGGAAATAAAGACTCAACACTCTTTTAGTAGGGTACCATGTCACATTTGATTCTACTCTAGCTACCTTTTTTTTTATTATTACTAGTCGCTTGCAATGTAACAACCC